GATGAATCATGATGAAAGACAAACATTACCTCATGGGCTGAGTCCGCAGAGCTGTCTTCAAGTCTTCAACTATTTTATTTTTCATTTCTGTTTCTTCTTCATCGAAGGCATATAGAGTTTGCATCTGTTCAGAAAAGAAGATGACAATGAGAAAAGCTTGGGCTGCCTGGAAGCTAAGAGACAGGCTGGCTATTATGAAAAACAACGATCCCATCAACCCACGCAGAGGTGCCTGCCGACCTCTCACCAGGAAAGCAGCGCCTCAGCTACAAAACTGAATCCAGATGAGGCTGCTCATGTGGACTGGCAGCAACATACCACTTTGCCACACTGGCTAAAATAGGGTTCTCAGATTACTCCCCAAAAATCATACTTGCCAGCATGCCCTCAGAAAACTGTACCTAATTTGGAACAGGGATCTGCTGTGGTGATCTATGGATATGTGAGGCAAAGTTTGTAGGGAGAGGTAATATCTTCTATTAGACTGACATGGCTGGAGGGATTTGGAAGAGGGGGGAAGAAAAAAAGAAAAAAAAACAGATGTGTGTCAGGTTTCAAAGCATAAAAGCTTTTTCTTCAAGTGACTAAACAGCCTGCAAGTACCCTGAATTACAGTTTGTGTACGTAGAAGCTTAAATTTTCCCCCCCACCCAAAATATATGACCTGGTTTAAGATACTGATTTTCCCTATACACTTTGCCCTTGCTCATTAGAAATATTTACTGTAAAAAGCTAAAGCATCATAAAATCCCTGTTATTGTTTTTTAATGAGTAAACTGAGGCACATGGAGAATAGATTTTCCCCCATTATGCAGCTTGAGATAACTAGAGCTTACAGACAACTGGAACTGAAGATGCTATGGGTCACTGTAAATTCAAGCGAGAGACAATGAGTGGAATACACATGAAAAATAAGGTTCTCAAAGTCAAACAACGCTATTAAAAAAGGTGGTATATAAGGAAATCAAGGTTCAAGATCTACAGTCAGCAACACTGGAACCTTGTATGTGAAAAGCAAGACTGCAGTGCCCATCACATATACCATTCAGCCTCAGAAATTCAACGTATGACTTTAAAAAGTCAAGCTTCAGTGCTGGAAATTCTTAGTCTATAGCTATGTCTTCTTAGTCACTTTAATTGTAAAACAGAGGATAAATGCCTCTTACTGGCAGGACTTCTGGGGGATATCTCTCAGAGGTATCTGGAAAGCAGCTCTGAACCCCTTCTCAAATGAATAACCTGATTAAATTAGCATCATCTATCAGGGATCTGATATTATACACCTCTCTGTGGTGGAATCTGAGTAGCTACAATTATGGCCCATTACAGCAAAATATTTAAGTCTTTACTATTTAGCAAGCACCAAAGAAAACCTTCCTCTCACTGGAACTTCCTTTAACCCCTCCCCCACGCCTGCCACCACCACCACCCAAACACCTCACTTCCCTTGGAAGTGCTCCCATGTTGCTTGCTTTTGCAAACCATGTGGTGCCAACACATGTCGGATCCTAAGGGTGGTCATTTGGCTCCATGCCCTTGCTGTCTTATGCTGAACAGCTGGCACAGGGAGATGTGTTTAACTCTAGGGGTCCTCCCTCTGATCCACGCTAAAGTCAAATTCACTCAGTAAAAGAGCAAGCTATTTCCTGCCTTAATGGAATGACAGAGCGCTACTGATGGAAAATGAGCTGATGACGTTTTATCTTTTGCCAGCATCCCCTGACAGCCAGAAACATAAACTGAAATGTCTAAGCCAAGCCATATATGATCCCCCTCTTCGAAAAATAAACAGAAATCCTGAACAGGCATTATGGAATCTCAGTGGCAGAGTCCTGGGGTGTGATCTGGGGCTTGATTTGTATTTTCTTGGGTGACAGCCCATCTGGTCATCTTTCCTTTGGCCCATACATGCTCCTTTGAATGGCTCCTATTCCTCTAGTGTCTTAATTTCTCCTATTGGTCGGGGGGGAAAGCAAATGGATGGTAGGAAGGTGCTCAACAGTATTTCGTTCAGAGTGAAAAAGGCCCATTCCCAAATGAAACAAAGACAAATAATCCTGCCTTTAAAACAGAGGGTGATTATAGAAAACCCCTTTTCTAAAGCTGCAGGCAGCCAAAAGCCCTTCATTTCTCACTCCCGTGCATGGCTAGAAACTCAAATCATCATGCCCTCTCTAAAGATAGACTGGTCACGTGTTCCCATTATGAAAGAGCTTTCTCAGCAAGAGTTACAGAAAACATAACTGTTCCTGGGAGACAGAGGGGAGGGAACTGTCATTACTTGAGGCTGGATTTCATTAACGTAGCAGACTGATGAATCGCTTTCCTGAACGACAAACTGCACTCGAGGACTAACATCTGCTGTGATGAGTTTGCAGCTAGTTACTCTCAGTTAACCAAGCATATTAGGAAGAGGAAGCAAAATAATGACAGCTCCGTATCTGGTCTCTAAAGGTGGTATACATAAGGCTCCTTTTTTTACAAGCACATTTTGCATATTTAAAGTTTTTCAAACTAAGTTCATAACCCATGAAAGTATAGCATCTAGTTATTTGATTTGCCCTTTCAAAAAAAAAATGCATGAATGGGTGGGAAAAAAAATCATTCACACAGAATTTTATGTATAAAGTTCAGGCAGTCAAAGAAATTACTTTTGAAAATTTGGCTCCATTTAAGATGAAACATTTTAGTTTTATTAAAAGCACAGATCAATTCCCACACCTTATCCTAGTGGCTAATCATTTCCCTAAATTGCTGTGAAGAAAAATATGGAACCATAATGACAGTACTTGTGAGAAAGAAAAAAGGGCAAAAGAAAAAAGGTCACGAACTAGCAGCAGCAATACTGTATGATGGCCTAGTTTTACGTAACAGTCTCACACTAATGAAATAAAAAAAAGAAATAAAGAATAAAGAGTGAAAAAACAACCTGGATATTTTGATTTCTCATTTCAGTTCAAGCTCTTTCTTTAGATTTTATCTAAAATCACAACTAACAAAGTGTTATCGCTATTGAAATCACTTTCAGTTCATAAACAAATAGAATTAAAATGAAAATCAAAATTTTATAAAAAAATGTTGTATTGCATGCCTTCTATAACATACCTGGACAATACTACTTTAAAACATTTCTTCAAAGAAAAGTCAGTTGAAATTCAAGGTGCACCACATCACTAAAAGAAGGCATTGCATTAAGGATGAACTAAGGGAATAGACTATAAATCATAAACTATGACTAGATGTAATTTTTGAAAACCTGAACATTTAAGTAAATAAGTTTAAAGTAATATAGATGTTACTTAACACAGATGAAGGAGAGGGTTGTCATCCACCTGCTAAATTCTGCTGAAAGATATTTATTTTTAATGTCCTGTGAAGCTGCTGTACTCAAATGCTTTCTGAATCAAGGAAAAGAGCCTGGTTACAGCTGTATTTATTAATGTTGACCCTTGTCTCATACTCTTGACCAAGTCATTTCTCCAGAAAAGCTGGATTTGCAACTACTGTTCACCTGAAAGCCTCTCTGTGGAAATGCATACACAGCTAAGCTCAAAAAAAGCAATGTGGTGCTGTTAGAAGTTTTCCTTCCCAGTAAAAGGAGGGCTGTGTTTATTTGTGCTGCCAAGCAGACAGTATCATGGGGTGAGGTGGGCCGGAGGAGCACAGTGAGGTTTCTTTACATGTGATATTAACAGGGCAGCTGCTGCATTTTTAAGAGAAGAAGGTTTGTGTGTTGATGAATCAGAAGATGACAATGACCTTGATAATGGAAATGGTCTCTGACTGTGGACATGCAACCTGTATTATTTATAGCATATAGACATCAGAGGACTGTGTAAATTTGGAGGCTCCTCTTTCTAAATTAGACATTATTAGCAGCTGTTCCTTTCTCTTAAGGACTCGTCTAGGAGATACACTACCAATTACCTACTTGGCCCCTTTGTTTCTGTGAGGCTACCTGAAGGATGAGACAGTCCCTCCACAGGAATTGCACACCACAGAGTAGTAAAGAGATCCAGCTCTACTGTCATGCGCTCTTGTGAGAACTGGGTTTTAAAAACTATTACAATCTCAAAAGTCACAACAACAGAAACAATTGAGCAGAACTGTGCCTAGAATGTGTGGCTTTTTGAACTGGATCAGGAATCTGTGACCTAAAGTGCTTCCTAACGTAGTTGTCTAAGGTTACAAGTAGGGAATGTCAAACATGTCAGGAATCAACACATTGTTCTCAAGCATAATCCATGAGGGGCAGATACGATGGCTAACACTGCAGAGGGTCTTCTGAGAAAATGATCCTTGAGCCAAGGGACCTTGGCCTGTTGAAGTCCATAGAAAGATACTTATATCAGCAGGATAAAGGTGACATTTCCGTTTTGTCAGCAGGTAGGAAGCACGTTTTTGCCAAGCTAATTCATTAAAAAAAAAATCTTAATAGTTCAACAAAAGAATATAGATAAATATGTGAAAGCCACATGTAAAAAGATTCTTATGCAGTTAATTCACAGGAGATGCAAAGATTAAATTTTTTTAAAAAAACAGGACTTAAAGCATTTTAAACTAACACTTCTGTGACTATTGCTACCATTTCAACTCTAATACTTCTTGCAGTATTTATAATTAAGATATTGCAATACCTGATAGTGCCCAAGAGACACAAACTGAAATAGACCAGACAGTGTCAGGCAACAACTTGAAACATGTTTTTCTTTCACCACTTCTGAGCCAACTCCACTTGGATACAGTTTAAAAAAAAAGTAAAAAACTCACCACTAAATTTAGGACTGAAATTATAAGGGACCCAAAATAACCGTTTGGATGTTAGGAATCTCAGAGGTCTAAATAATAATGAATAGAACATGTCTTTTAAAATGTGTTGGAGCTGGTTCTCAGCTGTATTACTCCAGTTTTCCGCTGATACAATTCCTGTGAAATAAAGTCAGCTAAGCTTCACCTGCCTAAAAGTGAAGCAACAAAGCGGTAAATCAGAAGCAGGGGTTTTAACCCCATTGTGTCTTCTTAACACTTCAAGCATAAGAGCCAATCATGAGGCTTGAAGCCAAATAAAAGGTTATCAATCATTCAGTACTGAGGCACGCAAACAATATTACGGGGTCTGGTGTTTATTGGTGCTCTTAAAACTTGTTTAAAATTAGAAACATAGGCCAAAATATAGCCTCATTCCATGGAACTGCTCCAGATTTACAATAGTGGTGTGTACGTACTCCAGGTTTACATCAAGATAATTTAAAGACTAATCCAAAAGTCACTGATATCAATGGAAAAACTTTCAGTAGATTCAAGAGGTCTTGGATCAAATCCTACCAGAAGTATTTGGCTCAGTGACATTGCAAGGTTTTTTCTTTTCCTTAATGGCCCTTGTAGAGCAAATTTGTTCAGTCAGGAAATCAAAGCATAGTGCCATGCCAGTCACAAAAACTCTATCTCTTTTCTCAAAACAAGCCCATATTCTTTCTGTTTCATTACTCTGCCCCAAGAAAATCTGGCATGAAGGAAGGTGATAATTTTGTTTCTTCATGACTCACACTAGAAAGCAGCTTTTCTTCTATCCTCTTACACTGAGTTATGATAACTTTTAAATCTTGATTCTTGAGAAATGCATCAGTATTGACACATTTAGCATCAATTAAGGCATAATTTTTATGAAATTATTTTGTAGCTCATAAACTATGATACAAAAGGTGCAAAGAAGACTTTAAAAATCAATCATAAAAGCATAAGTAAACAAATAAGGTGTGCTTCCTAACATGCTAGAAACATAATTCTGTCGTCACTTCTGCACAACTGCCAAAAAGTGCTGAGTAGACATTGAACATAATTAACTGGAGGCAAAATTTGACTATAAAATCATAGAATCATAGACAGTAGAATCATTTGGTTAAAAAAGACTCTTAAGATCATCGAGCCCAACCATAACCTGTCCACTACTAAACTATGTCCCTAAGCACCTCATCTATCAATTTTTTAAATACCTCCAGCACTACCCTGGGCAGCCCATTCCAGTGCCTGATAACCCTTTCAGTGAAGACATTTTTCCTAATATCTAATCTAAACCTTCCCTAGCACAACGTGAGGTCACTTCCTCTCATCGTATCGCTTGTTACTTGGGAGAAGAGACCAACCTCCACCGCACTACAACCTCCTTTCAGGTTGGTTGTAAAGAGTGATAAGGTCTCCCCTCAGCATCTTCTCCAGGCTAAACAGCCTCAGTTCCCTCAGCAGATCCTTATAAGACTTGTGCTCCAGACCCATCATCCGCTTTCTTGTCCTTCTCTGGAAACACTGTCAATGTCCTTCTTGTAGCGAGGGGCTCAAACCTGAACACAGTATTAGAGATGTGGACTCACCAGGGCCAAGTACAGGAGAAAGATCACTTCCCTGGTCCTGCTGGTCACACTATTTCTGATACAAGCCAGGATGCCATTGGCCTTCTGGGCCACTGGAGCACACTGCTGGCTAACAGTCAGTCGGCTGTTGACCAGTACAACCAGATCCCTCTCTACCAAGCTGCTTTCCAGCCACTCATCCCCAAGCCTGTAGCATTCCATGGGGTTGTTCGAAATATAAGATCTACCATATCATAGGAGATGAGTGGACACTATCTGCAGGTGTTCTGCTAGTGGTCAGCTCCACTGGATGCTTAGAGGAAGAGACATACTATACAGCTATTGAGCAAGGACAATTAAAGATGTTCCTCTATTTATCTGCTCAAATATAAGAAGATATTATCTTACATAAACAGCTACCTTAACTCTGGTGTTATTTTGTAGATTACTTAGAAATCAACCTGAAACCATACAACAAAACAAAACTTTATTAGGTTTTACTAGCTGCTTTTCTGATTCATCAAATATACTCTTGTTCTTCTCTTCTGAAGGGCTAAATAGGAGCCTTGGTTCCCTCTTGTTCATGATTTCATATAATCCTCACAGGATGCTATTAAGACTCCTCTTGAAGAACTGAATTATTTCACCTCTACTTGGCCCAAATGACACACAGGTCTCCAAAAATGCTAACTGCAGTTAGCAGTTTGATGGAAAAAGATACTTTCAATTGTCACTGCTTCAGTCTGTCTAGCCCTGCCAAGACACAAGTATGAGTGTGTGCATATGCTGAAAGCTAGCTTTATATTAACATTCCTCAAAATTTCCAAAATAGGGGTCATAGCTGAACTACCTTTGTGCTCCAACAACACTCAAGAGCATGACAGTCTCTTCAGGATCATTATAGTTTACTAGAGTTTAAAGCCAGCTGGCACACAGCCATTTTTTTCCCTTCTTTTCAGGACCAGTGCCAATGTGCAGAGATCTAAGGATCAAAGCCATATGTTGGGATAGGCTTCACAGCTGGCATGTAAACAATTTTAAATTATCAATCGCATTACTCCAGCTCTGAATTTTCATTTCAAAATCTAATTGGATCTCCTTCAGTGCTCACTATTGTAGAAATAAAAATTGGAAATGCTTATGGTGCTTTCTAATCTATTCTTCTGCTAGAGCAGGGCTCTTTCTTAGTACTTTCTTAGTCTACTTTTAGAAGTCCTATTTTAAAGTAGTCATGCATTTGGGCTAACATTCTTCTCCTTTCAGGACTTCTTCCTAAAGAAACACATCTATATCGCAGGAAATCTTCCCTGCTTTGCAGAAGAGGTAACTTACTGCTGCCATGGAATTGATGCGGTCAATGTAGTAATCTGGCCAGCTGGTAGCAAGCTTATTAGGATCTTCTTGTTCCTGAAACAGAAAGTTAAACAAGGTTACACAAGGAGCCTCTGCAGGATAAAACAGGACTGTAGAACCACTTGGGACTCTTCACTTCACTGTTCTTTATGGTGGCATCTCCCCCATATTCTTGTATAACACACATAGATGTATGGCATTTATTACAAATATTTCTGAAAGTGTAATGTTACACTGTCACCATGGTCTGTCAGATAAAAAGGATCCTCTTCATCTAAGGTTATTAAACACAGAATAATAACATTTGATGGAGACACAGTTATCTTTGGCATCTAAGCAGCAAACCTCAGTCACTTAAACATGCTATGCTTCCAAGTAAAAGGATAGCAAATTTGCAGATAAGAGTTTTACATTCTGTAGCTCTATATTGACAGATCTTATAATTTATATTGCCTCTCTACTGCTAGAGTGATGGTGGGATTCACCAACATAGGAGTTTAACATCTGCTATGGAGGAAAAAAAGCCAAAACAAAACAACAAGCTAGTGAAGGAGTCTGAAAAGAAGTCAAAAGACCATCCCATTTTGACATGATAAACCAAAAGGAGCCTTAGACTGGACATTAGGAAGCACTTCTTTACTGAGAGGGTGGTCAAACACTGGAAAAGGCTTTCTAGAAAGGTGGTACATGCCCCAAGCCTGTCAGTGTTGAAGAAGCACTTGGACATTGCCCTTAACAACATGGTTTATCTTACAGTCAGCCCTGAAGTGGTCAGGCAGTTGGAGAAGACAAAACTTGTAGGATTCTGCCAACTGAAATTTCTTTCCTTTTCCTTTTCCTTTTCCTTTTCCTTTTCCTTTTCCTTTTCCTTTTCCTTTTCCTTTTCCTTTTCCTTTTCCTTTTCCTTTTCCTTTTCCTTTTCCTTTTCCTTTTCCTTTTCCTTTTCCTTTTCCTTTTCCTTTTCCTTTTCCTTTTCCTTTTCCTTTTCCTTTTCCTTTTCCTTTTCCTTTTCCTTTTCCTTTTCCTTTTCCTTTTCCTTTTCCTTTTCCTTTTCCTTTTCTTAATATTCTATTTCAGTCTGAACATGAGGAAAAACTTTTTTACCGTAAGGGTGACAGAGCACTGGACCAGGCTGCCCAGAGAGGTTGTGGAGTCTCCTTCTCTGGAGACATTCAAAACCCGCCTGGTTTCCTTTTCCTTTTCCTTTTCCTTTTCCTTTTCCTTTTCCTTTTCCTTTTCCTTTTCCTTTTCCTTTTCCTTTTCCTTTTCCTTTTCCTTTTCCTTTTCCTTTTCCTTTTCCTTTTCCTTTTCCTTTTCCTTTTCCTTTTCCTTTTCTTAATATTCTATTTCAGTCTGAACATGAGGAAAAACTTTTTTACCGTAAGGGTGACAGAGCACTGGACCAGGCTGCCCAGAGAGGTTGTGGAGTCTCCTTCTCTGGAGACATTCAAGACCCGCCTGGACGTGTTCCTGTGCAACCTAGTCTAGGTGATCCTGCTCTGGCAGGGGGATTGGACTGGATGATCTTTCGAGGTCCCTTCCAACTCCTAATATTCCATTCCATTCCATTCCATTCCATTCCATTCCATTCCATTCCAAAGCACAATCTCAGAACATCCAAAGGAACAGAACAGCATCCCCTCAGTTACAGTAGGAGCAGTACTAATCCTTATATCTCTACCTCCCAAATAATCCACTTGAAATCATCTTCACTAGACTAAGCTCAACCAAGCTCAACTTCTAAAAGACCACCTATGCCTACTCAGGAACCAATTCTTTCTTGGTCCTTGGCTGCTCAAGACTTCATACTAATGGGTCTATCTATTTCTAGATAGGTCACCAGCAAAATGAGGATTAGTTTTTCTAGGAGCCTAATCTCTCATTATAAACTACAGATAACACATATTAAGACTCCTAGCATGTGATAAGAGATTGAACCCCTTGACTCATCCTGAGGATGTCTCAGGATGTATGAAAAGTGTGTGGATCTCACCAATGTTGTCTATATGAACGCTTACTTGTACAACAAAAGTTACTCTGGAAGATATACAGAACAATATTAAATGTGTGTGTTTGTCAGAGTACCTCAGCTATTCCAGAACTGTTTGGTTTAGAGATAAGAAATAGCTCTACATGCTCCCTGTGGAGTCACATTCAGAATACATCTTGCTACCTGACAAGTTCCTGCCGGGCTACATACCAATACATGGCAACAATTCTGCACAAACAAAAATTTTCATATTTAAAATTAAAACCAAAATCATTGCTGAGATTTGAATCTTTACTCCCCCTGTCTTTCAACATGTAAACTAAAGGAGTATTCTTCATTTGTGATACCTACAAAACAGCTTAGTCACCATCTAGCAAAGGACTGCAGTACAGACACATCCTAGACAGATCACAACTTTGTATTCAGCCCTTGCATCCAACTGAACAATTAGGAAAAGCAGAAGATTTTTAAAAAACATCATATAGTAGACTACCACTACATGAAAAGTATAGGAAGCTAGCAAAGTGGCAAGAGCTGGCAATTAAATCCACAGTTGCCACACACCCACCACCTCCCGATAAAAAATGATGCAATTAAGAACAGGGTGACCTTTCCCAAATTTAGTGAGAAGTTCTGTTGCTTTTCCTTACTTCCCTTTCCTGGCCACAGTCAGCTGGAATCTGATGGACCAGCCAAATGGCACATTACAGAAATATGCAACTCCCTACCAATAGCCAGTTTGTATTACCACAACATGTGTTATTGTTACATTGCCTTTTGCTGCCCCTTTTCTGTGTAGAATACATAGTGGCAGTCCTAACCCTGACAATGGTTTCACACTCAGCAGACCTTAACCTCCTGTGCAAAACTCAGAATACAACCTTGCTGATGGAAAAATAAATTAAAACATACAGTAGATAAATACAACATTATTTTTATAAGATAATCTTATAATCCCCAAAGAGAACAATAGAGACAGGGAGCTAATCCAGAGGTAATGAAATAAAGTCATTCTGCAGGAAACCAGGTTGAGTCACCAATCTGAAGGGCAAGGTGTGCTCATATGCCCTTCTAATTTTTTTCTCTGCATAGAATTACAAAAGTCCAAGTGACAGCTATAATTGTTTGCACAGTACAGGTGACAAGAAAATTGTCAGAACAGAGAATATGCATGTTGCCTAACTTCTGCCTGCATTCTGAACTCCAAGTAAAGGTACAAACACATGTACATGACTGCCTGGATTCATCCTTTGTATGCCAAAATAAGCTACAATACATTTCTCCTTAAAATTTAAGGAAAAAAAAAAGTATAAATGCTGGAATGCCACAACTAACCTTTCTAGATGTCTAGTTTAGACATGAAGGTTGAAGAGCATCAGAATAGACACACTAAAAAAAAATAAAAATAAAAAAATCAGAATTCTGAATAATTCCTCTCTGAACCCAAAAATTCACTATAAGAATAAAGGATAAGAAGACTCTGATCCCCTAAAGTATATCAGTATATATATATAAGACTCCACAACCTCTCTGGGTAGCCTGTTCCAGTGCTCTATCACCCTTACAGTAAAAAAGTTTTTCCTTATGTTCATATGGAACCTCCTATGCTCCAGCTTGCTCCCACATAGAGATTTTTATCCAGCCCCATGAAATTATTAGGTGGCACGGTGATATTTATAGCAATCACCTGGGCAACATTTTCAAAAGAGAGACAGAAGTTCACCCCTGTAGCATCAGAGCTACTGAAAAAGAACAAATTCGTTGCCCAAATTATGTGAGTTCTGCCCATGGTAAGAAATTGCTGTACCATGTTTCTCTCAGAGAGGGGAAGGTAAGTTGAAAATGGAAAACAATTCAGGGTGTGGGGTGTGTGCATGTGTGGTGGTGGGGGCAACAACAGTGTGCTGGAGTTTGTTGTTTGTTTTGGTTTTAATATCTTCAGGGTTTTGGCCCTCAAATAAAACACCAGAGAAAACTGTAAGTCAACTTGATGACAATGGCAAAACCCTTCCCTTGCTCCAGGAGACACAGAGAAGGAAAAGAAGAAAGCCTATCCAAAAAATGAGGCCCTAAAATACAAAGCCACATAGGTATCAAAAGCTGGAAACAATAACCCATCTGTATAAGGGAAAACATTAGCTGAAGGAATCTATTAAAGCAAAGCCTTCATTTAGCTCCTTGAATAGTGTAAATATTACATTGAAAAACAGACGTCAGCTTGTGGACTTTATAAGGGGCCATATCATTCTTCACTGGAGTAACAACTATGTAACTGCTGTGAAAACAGGATCTTGATACTATACAAGCCTGCAATATAGCCAAGGTATTATATAGGCTTTGACACTAATTTGGATAGGTTCCATGCCTTGGTGGAAAGTGGAACTTATGACTTCATCTCAAATAGGAGTTAATGGAGTTCTGCAAATATTTGGACCATCTGAACCAATCAAAATGAAACAAAATAAAACGAAGAATTGTGTACACAGCTCAGCTGATCCTGAAAGCCTTTTTGTAAATCCCGGGAGACCGATCCATTGGGCAAGCTGTTCTCTAGAGGGCAGAGACCTTTAGTGGCTGCCGTGTCAGTGGGACAAGCATTTGCAATATAAAGCCTGCAATAATGGACATAATCAAGAATTATAGACCACTGCCTTTGTTGAGAAATTTTCTACAAAGAAGTACCGATCACTAGTGTTACAAAAGCCATGTGAAAATGCCAGATATTCATGGCTGAGTGGATTATGAAAATCAAAGACACTGTTTATATGATGGGTGCTTCTTTCCAGATGGTTTCAGTTTTGCAAGGAACAGCACAGTGGAAGCCTGAGCAGTAACCGCCTTCATGTAAGCTCTTCTGTGGCAAGCACTGGGTTTCAGTTTCCACTTTGGTATTTTACTCCTCACCAAATGGAACCCCAAACAATATTGAGCAGTTCTCTAGAGCATGCCCAGAAAATCCAAGCATGTCAAAGTATTAATAAATACATCCACAAACCCAGCAACTTTATAAGGCTTCTTTCTTGCAGATGGAGACAGGGAAACATATACCATAACATGAAAATAA